GTGTGTGTGTGTGTGTGTGTGTGTGTGTGTGTGTGCGCGCGCACGCACACACACACACAGGAATATTATGCAGCCATCAAAAAGAATGAAATCTTGCCATTTGCAACGACGTGGATAGAACTGGAGGATATTATGCTGAGCTAAATAAGTCAATCAGAGAAAGACATGTATCATATGACCTCACTGATATGAGGAATTCTTAATCTCAGGAAACAAACTGAGGGTTGCTGGAGTGGTGAGGGGTGGGAGGGATGGGGTGGCTGGGTGATAGACATTGGGGAGGGTATGTGCTATGGTGAGCGCTGTGAAGTGTGCAAGACTGTTGAATCACAGATCTGTACTTCTGAAGCAAATAATACATTATGTTAAAAAAAAAGAAGATAGCAGGAGGGGAAGAATGAAGGGGGGGAAATGGGAGGGGGAGACGAACCATGAGAGATGATGGACTCTGAAAAACAAACTGAGGGTTCTAGAGGGGAGGGGGGCAGGGGGATGGGTTAGCCTGGTGATGGGTATTAAAGAGGGCACGTTCTGCGTGGAGCACTGGGTGTTATGCACAAACAATGAATCATGGAACACTACATCCAAAACTAATGATGTAATGTATGGTGATTAACATAATAAAAAAAAATTTACAGAGGAAAGGCCTCCCAGAGGATGTGGTATTTAAGGAACTGAAGACTTGGAAGGCTGCATAGCCAGACCTGGAAGGTGACGTGGGAGGCCTCAATGTGGTCACAAATCCTGGAGGCAAAAGAGCACAGGGCTTTACCCGTAGACAGCAGCACTGGAGCAGAGAGTGTTAGCGGAAGAGAGCTGTGGGAGGGAGGGAAGCCACTGAAGGGCTTAAGGGGAAGTGACTTGACAACATACGCTTTTTCCTCCCCACTTAAAAATATACCGCCTTAGAAAAATGCACACCATACTGAAATATTAAATTAAAAAATGAGTCTTCCCTTACATCCATCCCTTCAATCTAAATGCCAAGAGTAACCACTATGTATAGTTTGGTGTATTTCCTTCTTAACCTCTGCTATTTGAAGAATCCCTCCGGAGGCTGTGTGAGAATGGATCGGAGGGAGTAGGACCAGAGGCAGGAGCCTCTACAGACTTGTTATAAGGTGAAATTAGGTAAATTTATAAAGCACCGAACCTAGTGTGCTTGACCCAGGAAGTGCTCCATATAGAAGTCCACTTCCCTTCTGTTACAGCATATTCCTGCTAATGCTTTCTTTTTTCCTTAAGGGGAAAAAACCAAAAAACAAAAAAGACCCTGCTCACTGTAAAAAATTCAGAAACTATAAATAGTTAAAAAGAAGAAAATGTTTTTAGAATATAGAACACCTTTCCATTTTTTTCAATGTATGTATATTTTTATTTACAAAAATAAGATCATACATAAATTCTCTCTAAACACATACAAACATACACTTTTTTTTATAAAGATTTTATTTATGAGAGAGAGAGAGAGAGAGAGAGCACACGAATGCAAATATGCAAGTGGGGACAGGGGCAAAGGGTGAGGGAGAGGGAAAGTGAGGGAATCTCAAGCAGACTCCATGCTAAGCGCAAGGCAGAGCTGGATCTTACGACCCTGAGATCATGACCTGAGCCAAAACCAAGATCGGATGCTTCACTGACTGAGCCACCCAGGAGCCCCAACATTTCCATGGTTTTTTTTAAAGATTTTATTTATTTATTTGAGAAAGTGTGAGAGAACAAGAGAGAGTGAGTGAGGTGAGGAGCAGAGGGAGAAGCAGGCTTCCTGCTGAGCAGGGGACCCAAGGTGGGGCTCGATCCCGGGACTCTGGGATCACGACCTGAGCCAAAGGCAGACCCTTAACCGACCGAGCCACCCAGGCGCCCCCCAAAATTTCCATGTTTTAAGTATTTGTCTACCACCTTGTTTTTAATAGCTGCACAGAGTTCTACTATAGTATACTTTATTCAACCAATTCCTACTGTAAAACATTAGATTATTTTTAATATTTCAATAACACATATCTGATTACTTCCTTTGGGTAAATTCCTAGGACATTAAGTTCTAGGTCAAAAGTGTAAGCCTTTTTTTTTTAAGATTTTTTAAGATTTATTTATTTGAAAGAGAGAGAGAACGAGGGGAGGAACAGAGGGAAAGGGAGAAGCTGACTGCTCACTGAGCAGGGAGCTAGGTGCTGAGATCATGATCTGAGCTGAAAGCAGATGCTTAACCGACTGAGCTACCCAGGTGCCCCTAAAGTGTAAGCCTTTTTAAGGGTTTTGATAAATGTTATCAAACTGAATTTTAGGAAGATTGTACCAATTTTTTTTTTTTCCTAGCAAAGGAAGAAGGATGAGAGTAACTTTTGTGCCTTCCTTTCACAAAATAGGGTGTTTATTTTTCTTTATCCTGTGTCAGTCTGGTAAGCAAAAATGAAATCACACTGCCATCTCTACTTGGATTTCTTGGATTACTAATGAGGCCGGACTTAAGAAATAAATGTTTAGTAGTTAGTTGTGTTTCTTTTTTCATGAATCACAACAGTTGACTGTATTTTCATAATGTCCTTTGACCATTTTTCTCTTAGTATGTTAATCTTTTGCTTACTGGCCTTCAGAACTGTTAATGCTTTTGAAGGCGTAATGGTAAGCATTTCAAAAAATTACTCTATCATAACTATTAAAAAGTCAAACTATAGTTTTAGTTTTTCTCTTGGTAGTTTTTCAATATCTGTAATCAGCAGTGTTGATGGTCTTCCCTGTACCAACTGGCTTGAATTTCATTACCTTCAAATAGGCATAGAACCTGGCTCAATTATTTGCTGAATGGATGGATGAATTTTAATAACTCCTATGTACACAGACACACAGTCCTCACAGGTGAGTCAAAGAACCAGAATCCATCTCCCACATAGCTGAGGTTCTCCTACAACTGATCTAACATGGGCAGGTTGAGTCTCAGGTGTCTATTCACCTTATCTAAAAGGATCTTAAGAATTACCTTTCATAGGCAATCTATCCAATATATCAATTACAATCCTAAGGAGAAATGAGAAGGATCTCTAAGCAGCTAAAATCCATGTCTAAAACTCAGATATTGAATTCACAGCAGAGTCTGTCAGGTTCACACTTGGAGACATATCTGCTCTTAGTTTACACATAGTTGGGATAAAACTGGCATTGGTCTTTCTGTTTCCCAGAAGATGAAAAGCCAAGAGGGTACAAAAAGGCTGTTACAGATAGGCAAACCAACACAGAAGGCAGTGAGAAAAAATATCTGCTAGAGAGGTAGCATGGTATAGAGATTAAGAACATTGGCTTTAAAATCTGGGGCAATCTGAGCATCAACATGAGTAATCACAGTAATGGATCATAACCAATTGAGTAAAAAAGGATTCCATAATTCCATACTGAAAATAAGTAAGTTAATGGGATGAAAGGAAAGCTCTTCCTTACTGTAGAATGATAACTAATAAATGTAGAAGGAACAATGAAATTAGAACATCATCATTTTGCAATCTCATAATTATCATGGATAAAAAGAGCATCTGGCTCACATGGCTGTGTTAATGCATGTAAAGTGCTTAGAACACCATCTGACATATAATAAGTGCTCAACAAACATTGGTTATTATTTTTACTATGTCCCTGGCCCTGTGGTTGGGCTGTGGGGAAGTCAAGAGAAATGTGAATTGAGACACTTAAATTGGGAAGACAGCACATTTTATAACAAGCACAGAAAGATCTGGT